CTGCTGAGTTTGTGGGGAGAGAACAGAGGGTTATGAAGCTCATGCTGTAGAAATGAATGGCAAACAGAGGGAGAGAGTACATGAAATGGTGCCCAGAGCCCTTGGCATGGGGGACAGGAGGAGAGGAGCAAGGCCAGAGCAGTGCCAGGCAGCCCCTGCAGCCGAGGGGAGAGCAGGGAGCTGGGCAGAGGGACGGAGCGAGAGTAACTCCTGGCACATGCAGTGCCCCCTGGCATGCAGGCAACCTGGCTTCCACAACTTCTGACAATATTTCTTCCATCTTCCTCCATTTAAAATGTTTGTATGCAGCAATTCATCTCACCATAGGAAGAGAAAGAGGAAGGAATGGAAGCATGGAAAAAAAAGAGAGGAAATAGCTTCCAGAGAATTCCCCTTAAAACACTTGATCAGAATTGTCTAGAGGCTTTCAACTTGTGTTTTCTTCAGCTTCTCTCATGCACACTTGAGGGTAGCATTGCTATTAGAAGGTAGAAGACACTTACCTTTGGCTGCAAGAGCACAGTGGCTCAGAGCAACGGCGCAGGTGACCAGAGCCAGGGAGAACATGCTGCCAGGCCAGACGCTTCCCGAGCGACCCTCCGACCAGCGTCTCTTCCCTTGGAAATAAAGGCATTGGCAAAAGGGTGGTTACATATTAACTCTTGGTGTTTGTTCCCATCCTAGTAAACAGAAGATAAAAGGTTCCTTGTGTTGCATGTAATAAAGGATGAAACAAGCATCACATGTTGCACTCGTACATAATGCAGGAATTCAAATAGCGATTTCTGCTGGAAACGTCTCCGGGTGTTTCTGCAGAGCATCTCCTCTTGGCACTGATGTTTGGGAAAAAACAGTGTTATCCTCTCAGCATCTTTAGAGGATGAGGATGTTTGGAATACGATATCCGATCTGTCACTGATAAGCTTTTATGTATCACTCAAGCATGTACATTTCTATGTACCAAGGAGTCCTGAGAGTTGTAACAAAGTCTTTTTAGGGTGAAAAGATTAATGTTGGAGTGACATTGGTATTGTCATACACCCCCAGTGATGATGCTGACTTCATACCAGTCTACATTAGGTGTGATCTGGCCTGGTGATGATGTGAAACTTCAGGTTTCAGGAGCCAGTTTGATAAGATTCATGTTGTAAATAAGCATCTTTCAATTAACAGATAAGTAAAAGCACCAGAGACAGGGCTCACAATGCCAGCACTGCAGGGAAAGTGAAGTAATTATTCTGGACTGTGCTTATTTGTGACAAGGAGATCAAACTTTAATCATATTTTTTGGTGGTATAAACACTTGTTTTGGTGCTGTGATTTGGGGGTCATCAAGTCAAAACTCCACAGATATCAGCCAAAGTTCCGATCACTGCAGTTCTCCTAATTTAGCAGATTTTAACTGCAGGAGCATCTGAAGTGCAACCAAAATAACATTTGTGTAATCATTGTTCCACAGTTTGGTGTTTCTAATCTAAGTATCCTCCTCCCCTGCTGACTCACAGCCTGTGAGGGGGAGTGAGGGACATTTGAAGCTCTAACGAGAAGCTAGGTTATGTCAGACTCTGACTGCTGTGATCTTAACTGGTTTGTTTATTTTTGTTTTATAAAGTTTCTCTGTTTATATTTAAAACACAAATTTTAGCCACACCATTAAACAATGAGGAACATGCTATTCTTCTCAGGAAGAAAATGCTCTGAATGTCCTGCTCGAAATATTTACCAGATACTCAGAGCCAAGGGGCAAACTACCACTGCTAAATCAGCAGAAAAAAAATTGACTTCATTTTCTGTATTTACATCTGGTTATCTTTCCATTTGTCACAGCTTGCTTCTTCCTCTTTCTCTACAAAATCTCACAAGTATCTTTTCATCTTCCAACACAGTGCAATGCTATAATAAACTTTCTTGCCTCTGGTTTAAATCCATCCTTAGATCTGCGGGCTGTTTTGTTTACATTCGTTTCTGTGTTTAAAATAGGAAGAGATGGGCACGTTTTTAGTCTTCCAGCGCTGACCATGAGCATTTCTCCCCGTGCTCAGCAGATGGCAGAATGTGCTCTACCATATACCATACAGACACGAGCTGAAAAGTTACTGGACTAATTGAAGACGAAAAAAAAAGGAGTAAAATTATATGCACATTAATTTTTCCATCGATTTTGTGTGTGATAATTTTACTGCTTTTAAAATTGAAAGTAAAACTGAATAATTGTGTGTGAAGCTGAGAGAGGGATGAATATTGAAGTACGCAGGATATTTAAGTGTGCATTTCCCACAACTCCAGAACTGCCAATATTGTGATTCTCTTTGAAAATATGTTTCTCTGCAATAAGAAACAGCAGAATGTATGTTACAAATCACTTTATCTTTCACAGTAGCTGGAGAAGATGTGATTATTACTGTATGGATTCACCTTGGCAGAGCATGGGTAAACCAACCTAGTTCTTTCAGTATTTGCTGATAGTGTGCAGTTATATATATCATCTGAACTCCAAACCACTCCTTTAGCACCTGTGCTGTTTATTACCATAGCTCCTGTAAACTAAAGCATGAAGCAGAATATTCTCTCTTAGAAACAGCAGAATGTATGTTACAAATCACTTTATCTTTCACAGTAGCTGGAGAAGATGTGATTATTACTGTAGGGATTCACCTTGGCAGAGCATGGGTAAACCAACCTAGTTCTTTCAGTATTTGCTGATAGTGTGCAGTTATATATATATCTGAACTCCAGACCACTCCTTTAGCACCTTTGCTGTTTATTACCATAGCTCCTATAAACTAAAGCATGAAGCAGAATTTTCTCTCTTTAGTGACCACATAAACACAGAGCAGACTGATCTCCACTACAACTAGTAGTATATTCTAAGGAAACTAATGGCAGCTGCAAGCAGAGAAAGTAGTGCAAGAGCACCCTGAGGTGCTAGCAGCTCACATGATACATGGAGTATCCATATCACAGCAGTCTCATTGTTATCTGGGTTTGTGCAAGCATAAAGTAGAAGAGGAATGTGCAGGAGGGACGTGACTGAACTGGTTTTGCAGAAGCGGTGTTGCCCAAACGAAAATATGAAGGACAGCAGAGCAGAGATCAAGAGTGTGTGTTTGAGAAGAAGATAGCAATTAAACAATGGAGACTGGCATCACTGCCTGATCACAGTGGTTTCAGTAAGGAATAAGACAGAGGAAGAGGATAAGCCAGCAAAGGCCTTAAAAATGAAAGTAAAAATGGCACATGGAAGAGGAGAAAAAAAGGTAGCAGTGGGATGAAAAAAGAAAAAAGATGATTAAAAGTGTTTGAGAAGAAGATAGCAATTAAACAATGGAGACTGGCATCACTGCCTGATCACAGTGGTTTCAGTAAGGAATAAGACAGAGGAAGAGGATAAGCCAGCAAAGGCCTTAAAAATGAAAGTAAAAATGGCACATGGAAGAGAAGGAGAAAAAAAGGTAATAGTGGGATGAAAAAAGAAAAAAGATGATTAAAAAGAGTCTATGCAGCAGCATTCTTCATTGACATGAGGGTCAGCTGGAGCTGTCATGACAATGGGAAAAGACTCTAATAATCAGGACAGAAGATAATAGGAAGGTAGACAAAGGCTCTCAGACAGGAACTGAGCTCTCCGACAGATATTATGCAGAAAGTTTGCAAGAACTAGACAGGCTGAGGGTCAGTGCAAGGTAACGGTTCCCCAGCTAATGAGCCAGACCTGATGTCCTTCCTCTCATCTGTCTGTCTGCTTCTCTAGGTGATGCTGTCGTTCTCCTGATACTGGAGGATATGTCACACCTCTGACCCTGCCACAGACTTCCTGGCAGTCTGTCCTTCTGGACAACCAGTGTGGGGTCTGCATTACCCACCATTCTCAAGATTTTAGGACTGTTCTTCAACCAGAAAATGCATGATACAGCCACTTCAAGGTGCAGATGTTTCTCAGACCAATAGGAAGATATTGATTAGGGACACTGAGGTAGGATATTAAAGAGAGACCTGAATGTAGTCCTCCCTTACATGCCAGCACCTGCTTCTGAGGCTCTTCTTTCACACTTTGTGGTGCGAAGACTGGCCTTGGGACTGTACCTGCACCAACAATCTCACACTTTTCCCGTGAAGATAAGATATTAATATTCCAGCTCCCTTCACACCTTTCCTTTTGCTTCATGTCAGTCCCTGGGTTTTCATACGTACGCCCATTCCTCCCTCCAGAGCATGGAGAGGTGATGCTCAGGTGGCTAATGGATGTATCTGTGTTCCTCTGCAGGAGCAGGTCTGAAGTCATGGGTCCGGTCATTGCTCTTGCCAAGATAGTTCTAATCATATTTGATCAAAGTTCATTTGTGCCATGCACAAACATTTTTACTGCCTCTACTCAATACATCTAATATTGAAGTGAGTGCTTCGTTGCACTGAAAAGAGAAGAAATGCAAAGTAAGAAGGTAAACTGAGTCATTTTTAGCCTTAAATAAAAAGAATTGCTTTCAGTTCTCAACAAGTTGAGACCATTCCAACTTGTGTATATCAGTTGTTTAATAATTTGGATGTATACATTCCTTATTAGCAAAATATTCAGCCAGCCAGATGCCAAGATCCACTTACAGTGTATTATTTTCCAGTGAAAGTGTATTTTTCATGTGTTTGGAGATGCTGGAAGTAAACACACACTAACAGATACTGACCTGAAAGAATATCTTGGTGACATAAGGAATAAACACTGTCTATATAATTCTTAAAAAGACTGTTTTCACTTAGTAGCACATTTTAGGGTTAAACTGCACTCTTAGTTCCCACTGATGTTTCAGAATGTTCTTTCTGAAGTTAGTGAAATAATTATGATTTTAGTCCTAGACCTTAAATCGCTTTAAGCACTCAGTTTACTGGCAGTGTAGCATTAAAACACCCTATCCTGTATTGATCAGAGATTTCAGAGGGCTGGCACTGACAAATTTCCCAGGTGATAACAGGCCTGTGTTCTCTCACAGAGACGTGAGGGTGGTTTAGTTTTCACACACATTAAACTCACAGTGTACAAAACCAGAGCGTGTTCTAAAGCTACTTCCTCCTCTTCGCCTTCTCATTTCCTGCTCTGAAAACCCAGAGAATCTCTCTCACAGTGCTGCTGTGACCCACATATTGTGAAACAGTCTGTTCCTCTGATAAAAAAAAAAAAAAAAAAAAAGCAAACTGTGTGTAAAAAACCCTGTGTTAAATTTTTTTTTTTTTATTGGGAATGTTAAATTATGAAGCCCTGGGGGCCAATTATTTTCTATGAGTGTTTGAATCTGTGGTGAACAGATCTACAAGGGACAACTTTTGAGATGTTGACATAAAAGCACAGTATGTTTCCACAGACCTTCTCACCCTTTTTTTTTGCCTTGTCCCACATTTTTGCCTTTTCCCTCAGTGCAGATGTAGAGATACACAACTGCATTCGAGGAAGAAGCCAGCCAGGCATTGTATGGAGAGGTCAGAAAAGACAGGGTGCTTTCCAAGCTCAAGCCAAACTGTTTCTTCTCCGTCAAGTTTGAAAGAAAGTTTTCAAGATTCTCTTCATCGTTATTCTTCCA